GCTGCTTCAAATCATGATCTATCTTTGTAGTACCTGGATATATAGAATACACGAACAATGAGCCTCTTGAAGTATCAACTCCCTCAAACCATCAACCTTAGGAACACAAAGCCGGCCCTGAAGTCGCATGACACCATCATCTCTAACAACTACCTTCTTGGCACCACCTTACAACATCATGTCCTTAAGCATCAACAAATAGGGATTATCATACTGACGAGCCTTAATGCGCTTAAATAAGAATAACTGCACAATGACACAAGTAAGAACTCTACTACACTCAGAAATCCAATCTCACAAATATATTAGGCAAAGCCTAAACATCCATAACCAAAGGCCCCTCCTCGGCTGGAATGAATGTCAAACTACCCATATTCTCTGCCTTTCTACTCGAGGCATCTGCTACCGTATTCGCTTTATCCGGATGATACAAAATAGTGATATCATAATCCTTAAGATACTCAAGCCATGTCTGCTACCTCAACTTCAAATCTTTCTACTTGAACAAGTATTGAAGACTGCGATGATCAGTGTAAACCTCACACAACACACCGTACAATTAATGCATCCAAATCTTAAGTGCATGCACAATCTCCGCTAACTCCAAATCATGAACTAAATAATTCTTTTCATGAGGCTTTCATTGTCATGACGCATAAGCAATAATCCTACCATCATGTATCAATACCACACCAAGACCAACACGTGAAACATCACAATACATTGTGTATGCCTCTAAACCTGTGGGCAACACCAACATTGTGGTTGTAGTCAAAGCAACCTTAAGCTTCTTATAACTCTCCTCGAATTCATCTGACCATCTAAAAGGAATACATTTCTAAGTCAACTTAGTCAATAGAGCTACAATAGATGAAAACCCTTCTACAAGACGACGATAATGGCCTGCCAAACCCAAGAAACTCTTGATCTCTATAGCTGTAGTAGGTCAAGGCCAATTCAGAACCATCTCAATCTTCTTACGATCAACCTTAATACCATCACCAGACACCCATGACCGAAGAATGAAATTGAATCCAACCAAAACTCAAACATAGAAAATTTAGCATAAGGTTATTTATCCTTTAAGGTCTGAAGCACAATCCTCAAATAATGCTCATGCTCCTCCCTACTACTAAAGTAAACCAAGATGTCATCAATGAACATAATCACAAAAAAGTTCAAATTAGGCTTGAACACTCGGTTCATCAAATCCATGAATGTCGTTGGAGCATTAGTCAAGCCAAATAACCTCACCAAAAACTCATAACGACCATAACAAGTCCAAAATCCGTCTTAGGGATATTCAAAGTCCTAATCTTCACATGAGCCAATCTCAAGTAATCTAAGAGAACACCTTAGCACCTTAAAGCTGATCAAACAAATCATTAATGCGAGGCAATGAATACTTGGTCTTGATGGGAACCTTGTTTAACTGTCGATACTCAATGCACATCCTCATAGTACCATCCTTATTCTTCACAAATAACATCGGTGCACCCCAAGGAGAAACACTAGGTCTAATGAACCCCTTACCCAGTAAATCTTGCAACTGCTCCTCCAATTCCTTCAACTCAGCTGGAGCCATGTGATATGGTGGAACAGACATGGGACGAATGCCTGAAACCAAGTCAATACCAAAATCAATATCCTAATCCGTTGGCATACCCAGCGAATCTGTAGGGAAAACTTTTTAAAACTTTCTCACAACCGATACCAAATCCATATAAGAAATCTCTACACTAAAATTCGAATAAACACCAAATTTGCTAGACCCTTTATCAACCATACAATGAAACTTCAAGAATGAAATCACCCTACTTTTAGAATGGCTAATTGGCCTCCTCCAATCTATCTAGACAACCTTGGCATCGTCTATAGTTACAGTCTTGGTGTGGCAATCCAAGATAGCATGATATGGATATAACCGATCCATATCAAGGATCACCTTAAAATCCACCATGCCCAATAGTAAGATATCAACCAGAGTATCATATCTATTAATAGTAACCACACACGATTGATAAACCCGATCCGTAATAATAGAATCTTTAATATGTGTAGACACATAGATAGGAATATACAAAGAATAACGAGAAATATTCCAAATATGATGCAAAGTAAGATGATACATACGAATAAGTAGAACCTAGATTAAACAATACCAAAGCATCTCTATGACAGACTCAGACAATAGCTGTAATGACTACATCAGATGCCTCTGCCTCAAGTCTACTAGGTAAAGCATAAGAACGAGCCTGCCCTCCTCTAGGACGACCTCTATTCAGCTAAGTCCACCATTAGCTGACTGGCCTCCACCAATGGCTGGATGGGCGGGTGGTATGTCAACTGAGATTGGAATCATAACCCGAGCACCCTAAGACATACTACTTCGGAGCCTAGGGAAATCTCTCCTAAAATGCCTAAAGTCTCCACACTCGAAGAAATATCTCTGTTGAGTATGAGTTAGTTCCTAAGGACCAGAATAACCTCTATAAGAACCATAAGCCGAAGACACACTATAGGATGCATGCCCCAAACAAGCACCATAAGAGCCATGATTGACTGGAGCACTATGAAAAGTCTGAATTGCTGAATGAACTAGCCTACTAGAGTAGCCTCTACCAAAATGACCATTGCCTTTAGACGAGGCACCATTGAATCCTCCTGAATGACGAGGCCTCTTATCCTTCACTGCCTCTCTTCTTTGACCACAGATGTACTCAATCCTTTGTTCTATCCCCACTGCCTGCTAGAAAGTAGTCATAGTCTCTGTCTCCCTAGCATACTAAGCTTAATTCCAAAATTAAGTGAATCTCCTCACCTTCTCAATCTAGTTGGGAATTAAGAAAGCAACATTGTATAGGGTAAAATTGGCTTATATTAAATGCACGAATGATTATATGACACGTAGAACCGAAGGTAGATGAAAGATAAATTGAGTGAAAACCAAGACCGAGGACAACAATTTCGGTTAGTACAGGGTAGAACCCGAAGAGAACGCGGTCAACGGAAACAAATGAATGTTTGTCACCAAATGACATTTAATGAAGAATATTCCTCAGTATTAAATATGCAGCCGTTGCAGAGAATTTTGGCATTCATGGCCTGCCCTTACATATTAATAAATGGCCCTCATTATTGTCATTTAAGAGGGGCTTAATCCTAGGATCTTGTTCCCTAGGTATAACTGTAGATAGTGGCTTCAACAACCATTGTAAGATACGAGAATATCTACCTATTCTATATTTTATTCTCAAACTAAAGAATACAAATTTTCTTTTTATCTAATATTGCTCTTACTACTGTCCTCGGAAGCATTGCTCGCGGAGCCAAGCTTGTTATTTCCTTTTATTTCAATGCTAAGTCTTTTAATTTAATTTATATAGTATTTTGGGATCAAATCAGTTCCCTTGTCTATAAACCACGCAACAAATTAAACTGTACCATTTTACGGGTAAACAGTTTGGCGCCCACCATAGGGCTTAGACAACTGCGTAATTGAGTTGATCCTTGCATTTATTACTAACTTGTTTGATTCTTTGTCTCATAGCAAAAATAAAAAAAGTGGCAACTAATGATGTCAACGTCGCGCACAACAATGAGGCACATGAAAATATTCCTCAACATGAGGATTCAATCAGTGATGCCCGCAATGAGGGGTACGTAGCGACCCCGGTCCATGGCGGGCAATATCACTAGCATGTGCGGGAGACAACTCTTAATGACGCTGACGGGCACGTTGCTGAAACAGTAAGAATATTGAGAGAGCAACAAAAGGCCATAATGGGCCATCTCTCAAGGAAAGACCAGGTCATGACATAACTAAAGTAGGCATTATCAGGCACTTCCAACAACGAGAATGGAAGGGGCCCTGTTCCTCTTGGCTCTCCTGCAAATCAAACAACTCAAAGAGTTGATAACAACACACCGAGGGGTGAAGTCGACTTCGACGAAGCCGGGGGGATCGGTAGCGGATCTGGTAACGACAACAACAATGATCCTTTCAAAACTGAACTCATGAGATTCCTGGGGGAAATGAACGGGCGGATGGATCAAAACGCGAAAGAGTTCCACGCTCGAATGGACTAAATTCCAGGCGCACCACCAGTGTTGAAGGTCTCGGACTCCAAGAAGTACACCCATTTTCCGTTTAAACCGAGCGCAACACTAGAATTGATTTTGAAATGGTTCAAAATGCTGGACATACCAAAGTATGATGGGATTTCAGACCCTCAAGAGCACATCACAACTTGTACAACGGTAGTGAAAGGAAACGGTTTGTCCCAACATGAGATTGAGTCGGTCCTACTGAAGAAATCAGAGAAACACTCACGAAGGGGGCCTTGACATTGTATTCACTCCTACCCAAACACTCAATAGATTCCTTTGAGATGCTCGCAGATTCTTTCTTTAAGGCCCATGCCAGGGCCATCTAGGTCTAGTCCCGGAAGGTTGACATATTTAGAATCTCACAAGGAGAGTCCGAATTGCTGTGTGAGTTCGTGATCAGGTTCCAGAAAGAGAGGATGTTGTTACTGGCCGTGCCAAATGAATGGGCAGCTGAGGTATTTACTAAGGGTTTGATCCCGAGAAGCTCCGACGCCTCCCGAAAGTTGAAAAAAAGCATGCTCGAGTTCCAAGAAATCATATGGGCAGATGTCCACAACTGTTATGAATCAAAGATAAGGATAAAATATGATCACCTCAGGTTTTCGACATCAACCAAGGGTCGGGACCGAGAAAAGAATAGGGATAAATCCATAGATGATTTTGGTACAAATCGGCGGTCTTCTAAGGCTAATTCTTTCCATAAGAGAGGCCCGAAGGATGCGGCAACAAAGGGTTCTGGTCCGCGGATAGGTTCACCCCCGATAAAAGAACTAATCACGGTAAAAAAAAGGCCATTGTAGGACAAAGAGGTATCGGGTTCCCGGGATTCCTCATATCCTAGGTTGTCAGATTATAACTTCAATATCAACGTAGTGGAGCTGGTATGGGCAATGAGAAACATTAAAGAAGCACAGTTCTTGAGGCGGATCAAATTCGATCTAAGCCAGAGGGATACCAACTTATGGTGTGAATACCATGAAACTCATGGTCACAGAACTGGGGACTGCCGACATCTACGTGAGGTGGTGGCAACATTACTAAAGAACGGCCATCTCAGGGAGTTCTTAAGCGATTGGGCCAAGAACAATTACAGTCGCAACCGAGACAACGCAGAACCCTCAAAGATAGGGGCAGACCCTCCTCGACTAACTATCAGCATGATTTTCGGGGGGAATGAGATCAATAGTGTAACTTTCTCAGTAGCCAAGAAGACAAAGGTGTCAGTGACTCATATCAAGAGATTCTGGGAAGTCTCCAAAGACGACATCACCTTCAAAGAAGAAGACGCCGATGGATTTCTTCTGCAGCACCACGATGCCGTAGTAATTTCTCTTAACATTATAGATTTCAAGATTAAACATGTTTTGGTTGACCTAGGAAGTTCAGCCAATATCAATAAATGGAGAGTGCTGGAACTAGCCAAACTAACCGGAAGCATCATTCCGGCAACAAAGCTCCTCGCCAGGTTCAATTTAGCGAGTGTGACAACCCGAGGGGAGATCTTGCTGCCCACGAATGCTGAAGGGGTCACGAAGACCACCTTATTTGATGTGGTGGACGACGACATGGGTTATAATATAATTCTCGGTAGACCATGGTTACATGAGATGAAGGCCGTACTATCAACATATCACCAACTACTGAAATTCCTGACTATAGAGGGAATCAAACAAATAATAGGAGATCAATTGTCAATAAGAGAAATGAACGCGGTATTGATTTCTAGCAGTAAAGGGAAGAACTCAACACATAGAAATTACAGGAACCGACGCATACTCCCGAACCAAGTAAAGATGACAAATGGGAGGAGTCGTCGGAATCCCACCAGGTACCAAGATATTTTTAGGTACCATAAGAGACAGATGCGACCAAGTCCACTGCAGAAAAACTCGAACAAGTGGCTTTGTTCGAAAAATTCTTGGAGAGAAAATTTCACTTGGGGAAAGGACTCAACCCCGAGCTCAGGTCTAGATTGATTGATTTTCTTAAAACTAATGTTGATTATTTTGCATGGTTGCACGCGGATATGACAGGTATCCCGCTAGAGGTGGTCGTGCATAGGCTAAGCCTAGACCCAAGCATCCCACCGGTAAGGTAGAAGAAGCGCCCAATAGCCGAGGTTAGAAATAAGTTTGTTGAAGAAAAGGTAACTCATTACTTGACATCGGTTCAATCCGGGAGGTAAAGTATCCCGACTGGCTAGCTAATGTAGTTGTAGTTCCGAAAAAGAATAACAAATTTCGAATGTGCGTAGATTATAAAGATTTGAATAAGGCATGCCCGAAAGACTCGTTCCCACTGCTGAACATCTATCAAATGATTGATGACATTTCCGGGCACGAGTTAATGAGTTTCCTCGATGCATACTCCGAGTACAATCAAATTAAGATGAATCCGGAAGATCAGGAAAAAACTTCGTTCATAACAAACTTTAGTACATATTGTTATAATGTGCTGCCCTTCAGGCTTAAAAACGCTGAAGCCACTTATCAGAGGCTCGTGAACAAGATGTTCGAGAAACAAATATGTAAAATAATGGAAGTATACATAGATGATATGTTGGTCAAGTCATTGAATGTAGTTGACCATTTAAAACACCTCCAGGGAACCTTCGATATCCTAAGGAAGCACAATATGAAACTGAACATCAAAAAGTGCGCTTTCGGGGTTAGCTCCGGTAAGGTCTGGGGTTTCTCGGTATCATAAAGAGGGATCGAGGTGAATCTCGATAAGATCAAAGCCATCGAGGATATCCCAGATCAGTTGTCAAGTGTGAAGGAAGCTTAGTGGCTAACAGGGAGATTGACCGTTCTAAGAAGATTCATTTGTCGATCTTCAAAACAATGTCATCACTTCTTCTCACTTCTAAAGAAGAAGAACAATTTTAAATGGACTCCAGAATGCCAATAGGCCTTAAAAGACCTAAAATGTAATTTATCAAGACTTCCGCTACTATCAAAATCGGAGGAAGGCAAACAGGTGTTGATATACTTAGCATACTCAGAGGTGGCGGTAAGTGCCGTTCTAGTCTGGGTGGACAAGAGTACGCAATCTCCTATTTATTATAGTAGAAAATTTTTGTCAGGAGTGGAAACTCGTTATCTGCACCCCGAAAAACTGGCCTTAGCTCTCATAATAGTCTCTCGAAAGCTTAGGCCTTATTTTCAGTGCCACTCGATAGCCGCGGTGGCAACCTTTCCCCTACAAAATGTCTTTCACAAACCTGAGTTGTCACATCGGTTGGCCAAATGAGCAGTTTAAATTAGTGAGTTTGACATTGAATATAAGCCGATAATTGCGATCAATTCACTGGTTTTGGCCGACTTTGTGGCCGATTTCAGTCCCGGGTTACTGCCTCTGGTTGTAAAAGAAGTGGTGATGGTGTTGGAAACGACATCAGGAGTTTGAAACTTCTTCACGGACGGAGCTTCCAATGTGAAAGGGTCCGGACCTAGGGTGGTCCTAATCACACCCTCGGGAGAAACCCTGAGGCAGGCCATAAAAGCTGTTCCTTTAACTATTAATGAAGTCGAGTATGAGGCAATGATTACAGGACTGGAGCTGGCTCGAGGACTTGGCTCTGAGGTCATAGAAATCAAATGTGATTCGCAGCTGGTGGTAAACCAAGTATATGGGATCTTCGACACAAAGGAGAAACGCATGTAATATTATGTGATTAAAGTTTAAACTTTGCTCACACGGTTCAGAGAATGGTCGATCACCCACATCCCAAGAGAAGAAAACGTAAAAGCAGATGCATTGGCCTATTTGGGGTCATCCACGGAGATGAAGGGATCAGATTCCGGTACTGTCATTCAACTTATGCATTTGGTATTGGATGTGGATGGTTATTATGAATAAATACAACCAGCCTAGTCTGGTACTGGAGGAATGAGTTCATCGATTACCTTCAGCATGGCAAGTTGCCCGAAGAGCCGAAGGCATCCTGAGCACTTCGCACCAAAGTAGCTTGCTATATCCTCTGGGGGGGGGGAGTTATATAGGAGGCCGTTCCAAGTCCTAATGGCCCGATGATTAAGAGCCTCAGAGGTAGACTATGTCATGAGATAAGTTCATGAAAGGAATTTGCGGGAATCATTCCGGTGCAGATTCTTTGGTGCTAAAATCAGTTAGGGCAGGATACTACTGGCCCCGGATGGAACAAGACGTGAAGGAATTTATTTAGAAATGAGACAAGTGTCAGTGCTATGCATAGTTGGTGCACCAACCGGTAGAACTCTCGCATTCGGTACTGTCCCCATGGCTATTCATGAAATGGATGATGGATATAGTTGGGCCACTACCACCGGGTCCCGGGAAGGTGAGATTTCTTTTAATTTTAACCGATTAATTCACTAAATAGGTTGAATAAGGTCCTTACGAAAAGATCGATGAGTGAGAAGTGGTCAACTTCCTGTGGGAAAACATAATCTGTCGATTCAGAATATCGAAAGAGATTTCCTGTGATAACGGGCCACAGTTCATAAGCTCCGAAGTAACAAAATTTCTTGAAGACTTAAAGATTAAGAGGGTTACATATTACCATACCGTCCGAGCTCTAATAGGTAGGCGAAATCAACCAATAAGGTTATTATCCAAAACTTCAAAAAGAGGTTGGAAGCAGCCAAAGGCAAGTGGCCCGAAGAGTTACCGGGAGTGCTGTGGGAATACATGACGACCTCCAAGTAAAGCACAGGAGAGACGCTTTTCTCTCTTGTATACTGTGTAAAAGCTTTGATCCTAGTGGAAGTAGGAGAACTGACCTTGCGGTACTTCCGAACGGACGAGAAAGAAAATAATGAGGTAATCCTGGTCAAACTAGAGTTGCTTGATGAACGCAGGGACTTAGCGCACGTAAGAATAGTGGCTCAGAAACAAAGGATGGAAAGATACTATAACCGGAGGGCCAATCTCCGCTAATTTAAAGTGAGAGACTTGGTTTTGAGGAAAGTGACTCAGAACACTCAGGAGCTCAACGCGGGAAAGCTGGGTCTGACTTGGGAAATGCCCCTATCGGGTTTCAACTATCACCGTGAAGGGATCATACGAACTAGAGAATTGAGATGGAGTCAAATTGCCAAGAAACTAGAATGTGACTCACCTCAATAGGTATTACTCTTGATGGATACTGCTTATACTGAAAGTATGTGCTGCATTCTTTTTCCCTTTAACCAGTTTTTGTCCCAATTGGATTTTTCTGGCAAGGTTTTTAATGAGGCAGCAATAGAAAGCATACAACGAAGGAAACGACATCAACAAAGTTAAGACCTTCTAAATGACAAGTCATGGAAACAACAAACCACTGCTGGATGGTTAAATAGTCTTTGGCTCGATGGAAAATTCCTAATAGGAAGTAAAATTTGCTATCAGACCAAAGGCTATTCAACCGTTCACAAGTGTTTTTCCTCAAAGGAGCAAGACTTCCAGTATTTCAATTCGTATACTTCACATTCGAACACTGGGGGGAGGGGGGATAGTATGAGAATATGGCAACATGATTGCCACGAAAACCGAGACTACGAGACTAGGGAACAATAATGTCTCATCGGGACCGGGGACTATATGGCTAGCCCTGTAGAAATAATTTGTACAAATTAGCCACATGTATTGGCAATTTGTTTTAGCAAACAAATGCTTATGTACTTTGAATATAGAAGGAATAAAAATGAAGTCCTTTTATTTTTATCTTGTTTCTTGTCCAAACGATGAACTGATTTTATCATTTGAAAGTTAATTGAAAACTTCAAATGCTAATGCCGGAATGAATAGGAGACATTGTCTTCAAGAGTACCGTAAACATAAGAGGGTCCTCTCTTATGAAAGCCTCACAGTAAAGGGTTGGTTCCGGAAGAGGTTATGCCCAAAAAACCTAAAAGCTATCGGAAGAAAACACACCCGAAGCTTTACTTAATTCGACGCAAAAAGAATGAACTTTGTGCAATACTTAAACAAAAGGTCCTTTTTATTTATCAAACATGCCAAACGGCATAAGTACAAAGATGCAAAAGGAAAACAACAAATAAGAAAGGGAAAAGGCTAAACTTCATCGCCATCAGAACTCGAGGGAAGGAGGCATCTACACTCCCTGGAGAAGTAGGCGGATCTGCCGCCGGTGCAGGATCTTGGCCCTCATCATCATTATCTTCAAGTTCCTCCTCAGTTCCCGAAAACTCGGAACCGGCACTAGAAGAGTCAGTTGCATCAGGATGAGCCGGGAGACGTTCTCGAGCAGTTAACTCTAGTATTCGGGCCTTGGTGATCTCATCGTCAATATCAATAACGCCAGTTTTGGCCTCTTCCAGGGTTTTCCTCCTCATATGGTACATAGAGTATGTTTTTTGAATAACGAGGGTATCCCTTGGTGCTGAAGTTTGGCCTAAGCCTGTTAACCTCGGCCAAAAGTCCATCCTTCTCAGATCTTGTGGCACCGAGGCTAAGATCGAGATCACAGTGCGTAGATATGTGGAATAGGTTTTTCTTCATGATATTCTTATACCTCTCTTTCCATCCGGGCCCGTTTTTCCTCGGTAGCAGCAACCTCTTCATATTTAGAGTTTAAAGCTGCCTCCAAATTATTTGCTCATTCAATGGAAGCAGACTCGTGCCCGGTAACAGCAAGAGCAGCATCTTGAGACTCAGCCCTTGAAGTTGTGCATGTAGATCAGTGGCTTCTTGACTATGAGCCATCACCTCCTGCTCATTCTGTTGCAACCTAGCCTCAAGCTCGTCCGTTTTAGCAGCCTTCGCTTTTAGCATCGGGAGGCGTGTAACGAGTTGATTCTTCTCGGCCAACAATTGATCCCGCTAGGACATAAGTCCCTCTTTTTCAAGGATCAGCCTCTGAAGACCCTCATAAGCGAGGAAGTTGGCATGCGAAACAAATATCAAAGTCAGAAACCCTATTGTAACAGACGAATAGAAACAGGCAGTAAGAAAACAAGTACGGTACCGCTGCTGCATTGTGCATGGCATTATT